CTTTGCAGTTTCTCAGTGCATTTGCTAAAGGGCAGCCTCAGCTTCAAGGTGTTCCCAGGGTTCTGAATCCTGGCTGCACAGGAGAGTCATGCGGAGTGCTTTCAGAAAACACAGCAATCCGCTGAGGCTCCGTGGCAGGTTGATGATCTCGAAATCTTTAGGGAATCAGGCCTAAGGCATTTCAAATGAGGAGAGGTAGACCTGAACTACAACTGCCTTGCATGGAGGAAGGAAGGAAGCTATGTTGAACAGCCTGCCAAGGCCTTCTGATGTAAGTAAGCCAAGGCTAGAGCTCTGCTGCTACTGAGGGATCAGTATTGGGCTGCTAACTCAATGCAAGGTCAGTGGTTCAAACCCATCAGCCCCTCCTTGGGAGAGAAAGGAGGTTGTCTGCTCCTATAACCATTTACAACCTCAGAAACCCTAAGGAGCAGTTTTACTCTGTCCCATAGAGCCCCTAAGAGTTGAAATTGGCTGTGGCAAGGAGCGTTCTGTCTAAGACAATCATTAAAAGACTGGGAAAAAGACCTGGGCCCAAAGATGCTCACACCTTACTGTTAATACAATTTGGTGGCACCTTTCTTATTCAAGCAATCCACTGCTTGCTCCCTTACTAAAATAGGATGGAGCCACTTAAGATGTTTGAAAATGCGTACTGAATCTCTGTAGTGCATTTGTAAAGTGCATGTTGAGATTTGAAGTGGAAGTTTAAGATACACTAGCTCTAGAGTGGACACAGAAGAATCAGTGCTGGAAAGAAACGCAGCCACACGCCTTCGGTGGTTATGCCTGAGGGTTAAGTCGCTAGATGATGCCCTCTCTGTGTTTCTGAGTTTTCCAAGTTGCCTGTGCTGTGGGTCATTGTATAACAGAAAGAGCTGAGGACAAAAATAAATAACCTAAGAACTACAACACCCCTCCCCCATTAAAAAGTCAAGGGGCACATCTTCCTTCAGGAATGCCCATGCATGAAGGCCAAAAGGGGCCTCCAGCACCGTTCTAAAAGCAGATGAACCCCACTCTCTCCTCTCCTCTCCCCATCAACAAGAGGCTGACTTACAAAGCGGGGATTTACGTGGCAGTAATTCAACCATCCTACTGTTGAGACCCAGAAGACCCTCCAACGTCAGGCCTCTTCTTCCAAACCCCATTTGTATTTTGGTCTTTGAGGCACTAGCAGATTTTCTGAGTAAATGACCAGAACTGGATTCCATTCTCAGTTGCTTTGCTTCAAATAGACCTTGTTCTTCTAAACCCAAAGCACATTTTTGTTCTGACCTCGGACGCAGTTTCAACAGTGTCCTATCCTGTCTGCCTGAGACTGTGGCTGCTCTGGAGAAGCTAGCAGGTGCCGGCAAGGGTGTGGCTCTGCCCACCAGGTCCCCAGGGGTTTGGGTCCGTGGAACATTTTAGATTAACCCCATTGACCTACCCCTCTGCACCCCCCGAGTCAGGAGGCCCCATTCTCAGGGGGGAGGTAAGTGGTGGGGTCCTTACCTGCTTGCCTCTTTTCCCTGGTCTTCCTGTGGGGCCCCGGTGTCCTGCTATCCCAGCCTCACCCTTTGGACCCATTTCACCCTGGAAAGAAAGAGAGAAATTAAGATGTGTGTGTGTATGTGTATGGGGTGGGGGTGGGGGGAATAGGAGTCCACATCCATTCAGGTCTGAATAGTCATTGGTCTACTTGATCGTTCTAAATCTTTTCCAGAAGGGCAGCTCTAGGTAACAGAGAACTGGATGAGGCCAATTGTGTGCAGAAGCGCGAGGCTCCGAGAAGGTGTCATGGGTTGGTTGGTGCTTACCCGAGAGAGACGGCTATTGGGCAGCACGTATGTGGGTGGTCAGAATTGGAAAGACGGATCACATCTGGACCCGCCAAAGTGGGAGGTTTGGATGTTCTGACCTTATGTGTGCCGGCACATGACAAGCCATGCTGGTAGGAAGGCTTTCTCCTTTAGTTGAAATGGATCAGTTCTTCCTTTTGTTTCCAGAACAAATTCCAATCAGTGGGTCATTGAATGACTCACCACGATTTTGACAAATTTTCACCACGCCGGGTTCCTTCTCATCTAAAGACCTTTACTTAGGAGGACACGCTTCTCCATCCTTCAGTCAAAATCAGTTTGAGTGCCAGCTTTGAATGAGATCAAAACTCTTCTGCAGTGAGAGATTGCCCCGTCAGGTGTACAGATACTCGGTATAATTATTGCCAAAGGCACTGAAAGCAACGTCAATACGATTCCTCATCGAGAAGCCGTGCTCTGGGACCATGAGAACCGAACCCACTAACTGCAGCATTCCTAACGTAAGGCAGACCCTTCACAAAATCTAAATTTTCATTTGAGCATTTCTCTCCTCCTTCCCCCACCTTCGCCTAGGATTCCAGGTCCCCTTGCTTTTCCTTTGGCCCGCTGAGCATTCCTGCACCAGGAATCCCCCAAGACCCAG